CGTCCCCGTCAACCCCATTCCCAAAACCCAATAAAATTTTATCTATATTTTTGTTTTTTGATTCCTCCTTTTAAGTTTTAACATACGTATGCTGCATTGATAGTGCTTATAACTAACTTATGTGGGTTATGTTCGATTGACCTCAATATTTCTTGATTGTTCTCGTACGTTTTCTTTTGTTTTCGTGAAGGTTACACCAAAATCCATCCGTTTACGGAAGAAATACCTTGATGTTAACAAGCGTAAAACCATGAGCAGAAGGCCAAAGGAATGAAGAGAGGGCAAAGCGCCACGAGGAAAAGCCCTAAGGAATGAGGAATTTATAATTTTGTAAACATTAATTTATTCAGTGTATGGTATTATAGTCATTACAAGCAATTTTTTTCTTGCCAGGTTCTGTCATAAAGTATTGATTGTATTACAGGCTCCCCAGAAAGAAATATTCTTTGGTAGTGATAAGGTAACCCAATTTTGTATTTTCTAAGGAGATATTAATAACTGGCAATGGTACAAGTTGCTATTGATGTAATATCAAACGTTTGTTTAAAAGATTAAACCATAACTACTCTGAAAGGGATTTTTATTGGCTCACGAGTTAATGGTTTACTTTGACATTGTTGTACCCCAAAAAAATAAATAAAAAATTACTAGTCTTTGTTGTGGTCGGCTTGACGCCACGGGTTTGATGTCTATCCAAATCACTTTTTACCAAGTCAACAATGCCTTCTTTTGTTGTAAAACAAAAGTAATGTCGATGCTGACGTGTCTTTTTCTCCAGTTCTGCATGAGAGCCATTTGCATCGATGCATTTAGTATTGATGTTTAATGTACATTTCCTTTCATATTTTTAATTTGAAGAGCATTTATGATCTCACTGTCTGACTGCGTGTTATATTCATTGATCATGTAAATGAACTTCCAATATTAACTATAGGAGCTTGGTTAGAATTTCAAACTCACGTTGCTTCAAGAGTGAGAGTACTTGAAGAAAAATTGTCGTGGGGTTTTAGTCGAGATATGATTATGTATTTTGGTGGTTGTAACAAAAGAAACTACGAAAAAGTATGAAAACTGAAAACTAAACCAATGTTGACGCACAAATATAGGGTGAGTCATTTGTGTGCAGCCAGGGAACAACTGTGTTAAAAAATAATTTTCTTAACATGAGCAAATGTAAACCTGTAATAGAATAGAAAATGACCATTGGATATTAAAGAGTAGAATACTTATCAGCATGAAAAAGAGAGTAGATACTTATAAGATGAAAGTTGCTTAGTGTGGTTATAATTGGGCCTCATTTGGATCATTTAGCTGATAGATTTTGTATGTAGTTGAACGTTTATTGGCCTATAGAATCATTCAGCAGATAGTCAAACGTTTGAAAATCACGATTGTGGTTCTAAGTTTTTTTAACATGGTTGGTTGTATGAAAACAAAATCAGTTTTGCTCTAGCATGCTAGAGTACACCACTAAAAAATACTATAAACTTATTTTTGAAACAAGTAAATTTTACAAAACGAAAGTGACGTTGAGGAATGAGTTGGATATTTTTTTCCATCTAGGGTGCGAAAACCGTGAACAGTCGAACATGATCAATCAATATTGAAGACTAAGATTTAAATTCTAAGCTAACTACCCAACGACGAAGAAAGGTATAGTGGTACTATTTTATTTATATCTCACGGGTACGGACGTTTTCTAAATACACGAAATATTCGCCTATTTTGGCTTGTAATAATCATATCTAGTAGAGCAGTCAAAGTGGGCCGGGACCCGTGAGTCAACCCGGCTCACCTTGAAAATGAGTCAGGTTGGCTAAAAAAAATTAAAATTTTATAGTAGGTAGGTATATTACCCGGTCCACTTTGACCTGGTCCACCTGAGCTGAACCCGTGGTAGTAGCCCACCAACCTACCATTTTTTTTTAATAAAAATTTAAGTATGATTTGTAGTTAATTTTGTATGATGAGATATTAAAAATTTTTATTTTAGACTTTTATTATGATTTGTATTTAATTTTGTATGATGAATTACGACTTATGACTATTAATGATGCTAATTTTATGACTATTATGTTAATTTATAATTAATTTAAAATTTTGAATTTTGTTAATAATTTTCTTTTTAATTTTTGGTGGGGCTGGTCTGTATAACCCACCAACCTGTGGTGGGCTGGGCCAGGCCAATTTTTTTTTGAAAAAATAAAAAATGAGCCAGATTAGGTTGACTCGTTTTTAAAGTGGGTCAAGGTGAACCGACCCACATGAACCGGATTGACCCGTTTTGACAGCTCTAATATCTAGTAAGCAAATCTTAAATGTTCCAATGTTTCACAATTACACTTCTAAACCTCTATATTTTATCAATTATTAAATGCAAGTAGTTTAAAATTTAAAAACTACGTCGGTGACCTACGCGATGCACGAGTAATTTTTCACTTAATTTATAATATTATTATTAATTTATAATTACGATAAAAATATGTTCAATTATATTTTATTTATATAATGAAAAAGTTTTGTAAATCATAACATATGATGAAGCATAACCGTACTTAGAACTGGGTAAACCATAACATATATTTGAATAAAGTTATGCTAAAACAAACAAACTTCAAAATTAAAATAATAATAAAAACACAAAAAATACCTCAAATACGGATTATTTTTCCTTCAATCTTAGGTCGAATTCCATTCACAAAAGATGCCCATTGTGAAACTTCTACACCATTATTTGTATTTCAAATCTCATGTGATCTTGAAACTTGCATGAAACAAAGAAAGAAAAAACTTAAATATAATCAAAGGAGCCTATAAGATTATCAAATGCTTTGTCAAGCACACTAATAAAATACTATAAGAGGCTTTTAAGTTGCTGCTAGATGATTCCCATTATTTTGACATAATATACAATGAGGGTACAATATTGCATAATCCTTTTAAGTTGCTCAATCTGATCCTCCACATTTAAGTTAATCACTTGACCCATTTCAGTGTTTTCTTTTTTAAATTAACAATCCTTAATTTCTTATAGTTTTTTTTTGTCATAATATATATGTTGGGATGTAAGCAAAGTCCCACATCGTTCAAACAAGAGGATGGACATGGGTTTATATACACATAATTGTCTCCATTGGTCGAGAGATCTTTTGGGTGATGTCCAAAAGCAAATCCGTGAGGGCTTGGGCCCAAAGTGGTATCAGAGTCGATGGTCTGATCAGGTGACCGACTCGACGAGTATGATGGCTGACAGGTGAATCCTTTGTGGGGCCACGATGAGTATGATGGGGTATGATGGTTGACAGGTTGGAGCAGCGGTGCAAGCACTCTGAGCGTGAGTGAGCTTTGTGGGGCCACGACGAGTATGATGGTTGATAGGTATATCATGTTGTGGAGGGCTGACAGGTGGATCCTTTGTGGGGCCACGATGAGTATGATGGGGTATGATGGTTGACAGGTTGGAGCGGCGGTGCAAGCACTCTGAGCGTGAGTGAGCTTTGTGGGACCACGACGAGTATGATGGTTGATAGGTATATCATGTTGTGGAGGTTTGTGGATTAGATCATAACATGGAGGTTTAGGAGGCGTGTCCCGCCCTCATGAGGGAGGTCATGTTGGTCGAGAGGCCTTTTGGGTGATATCTAAAAGTAAATCCGTGAGGGCTTAGGCCCAAAGCGAACAATATCTCACCAATGTGGAAACATGTGTATATCTGTGGTAACCCCTCCATGCTCAACAATATATAAATAATTGCATTATAAAATAATTGAAGATTAAATTAGCCTAAATAATTTTGTTTAGAATGAATAAGTTTAAAATTGAAACATGAAACTAAAATCAAATCAAAGTTAAATACTTTTTATTATATTTACAAAATGATTCAAAATGTCAATCATATACTATAATAAGATTGAAATCTTAATATCAGATTATTATTAGATTTATAGTCATAATATTTTTTTTACACCATCTAAATCATAATATCTTAATTACGTTGAAGAGTGAATAAATCTTTTCCTTCTACTACCGATACCAAACTCAAATATGTCAAAGAGCAAACTACAAACCCAATATTATCATTTGAAATAAAGAACAAAACCGTTGAGAACCCATTTCGTTTTCCTCAAATTCTGAACTATAAAATTTTTACGTTGTTATATATCTCTAACATGCAGTACAACAATTCACACACACTCCAGAGAAATTTTTTTTCTACAAAATCATAGTATAAATCGAATAACAAAAAAAAAAAAAAACAAATACATCCAATTCCTTTGCATTTGAGAAAAAAATCATGTATTAACCTTTACCTAGATTACGTAAGTCGTAAAATTTGTCAACATTTGAGAGAAAGAAAAGGCAAAAAAAACTCGAGCCAGGAGAATCAAAGGATGAAGTGAAAAGAGAGTGAGGGAGGAATAGGAAAGAGGAGAGTAGTATCGTTCTATTATATGAAAATTCTTATATAATGATATATATCTTATTGTAATATAAAAATTATCACTAAAAATTATTTTTACATATACAATATATATGATATATTATTAAAAAATATGGATAAATATTATAATGATATATAAAATATATTGTTAAATCTCATTCAAAATTAGTACTAAAATTGTATATAATTATGCTTATATATATATAGAATTAATCATCTATAAATTGTCAGTATAAAATTTTTTTACACCGGCAACCAATTATCTCTTAAATGTTACTGTTAAAAGTAAATGTGTTTATAATAACATGACACAATTAAGAGATATAAATAGTTGTCAATATAAAAAGTTTTACATCGACAGTGTATAAATAATTAACTTTTATATATATATATATATATATATATATATATATATATATATATATATATATATATATATATATATTTACAAATATTATGTTTATATCGACATTTTTTATATGTTAGCGTATGTTAGGAGTAGATCTTCTAACCCTATAATCTCTGAAAATTTATTCTATATATATATAAAAGAAGATGTAGGGAGGAGGGTGAAAAAGGTAAAAAGAAGCAAACCCATTGATTTGCTTTGTTTTTGTGTGTTGTGTTAGTTTGTTTGTTTTGGATGTGAAGGCATTAAAAGAGAAATATCATTCTGAATGCTTCTCCCTCCATATCATCATATCCTTCTCTTCTGTCACATTCCAATGCTGAAACTCGCAACCCCCATTGGCACCGACCCAGTTCAATTCCCGAGAAGCGATTGAAGAAAAAAGCGCAAAGTTAGGATCTTTGGATCGAAAGAGAAGGAAGAGGGAAAATGGGTGCCTACAGAGCGGACGATGATTACGACTACTTGTTCAAGGTTGTCTTGATCGGTGACTCCGGCGTCGGAAAATCCAATCTCTTGTCTCGATTCACCAAAAACGAATTCAGCTTGGAATCTAAATCCACCATTGGCGTTGAATTCGCCACTCGCAGCATCCACGTCGATGATAAGATCGTAAAGGCGCAAATTTGGGACACTGCAGGCCAAGAGAGGTCACTTTTTTTTTCTCAGATTTCTTTTTTTCATTTATGATCGTCTTTGTTTGGAATTCTTGTTCTTTACGGATTTGGAAAAAAATAAATAAAGAAAAAGATAGAAAAGTTGAATTTTGGAAACATTTTTTGTCTTTAATTTTTCCACAGCGGTGTGGATTGTTGTTTGATGATTGGGAATAATGTTTTGTGGGGTTTGATGAAAGTTTAATGTGTTTTTGTTTTTATTTTCTTTCTTGGTTTGGGATTTGATTTGGTGGTGTTGGTGAATGATGCATGCAGTGTGATTTTATCGTTTGACCAAGGATTATTTATTTATTTTAATGCAAAACATGGGATTGTGCATTGGGCTTTGTTGTGGGATGGAGAATGTCGTTCACATTTTTCTGGGGTGGGATTGAATAGTTTAGTGTACCATTAATGTTGCTATTTGTGGCATTGGGATGCGTGTTGCGCAGTTGATGAGATTGATTATTTTGTAAAATGATGAAATGGATTTAGTGTTTTTCAATGTGTTGTGATTTCAACTTATTATTCGTATATCTGTTCTGTGGATGAATTATTGAAGAGTGGGCCAAAGTTTAGGGTATAAATGTTTGTGTGAAATGATGGATGAGTGTGACCAATGTCTATTGCTTCCAGATCCATCGATTTTTTTTGCAAAATCTGCATTTTCTTTCTTGGATCTAAGGTGAACAACGTTTAAAAGGTTAAGTAAGTAATATCGTTTGATGAGAAAATCAAAGATTGATATTATGTGTGCATGCATAACAAATTATGCATCATGTATGTATTAAAATTTCAACTATTGATTTTCTCGTCCATGATTAAAATCACTTACTTTACCATTGTTTGTTTTAGAGCAGTCAAACAGATAGTTTTTTGCTAAATTATTTTTAATTTTTTTATTTTTAAGATTTAATATTTAATATCATTATTTCAGAGTGTACAAATTAGTTCTCTAATTTTAAAAAAAAATTTAATATTGTTATTTTGTCTAAATTGATGTTAACAACATTAATGAATTAATGAAATAAGATAAAAATACAGTATTTAACATTTTTTAAAAAATTAGAAGACCAAATTAATAGTGAGATCAAATTAAACATTTTAAAAATATGGTGATCAAATTGAATGGTAATTAATAATATAGGTAAAAGAAAATTTAAATTTATAAAAGAAATGTTAAATAAATTATTATTTAATTTGATTTTTCTATTTTTTAATATTTAATTTGGCCTCACTATTTTAATGTTGTCCTTTGTTTATTTTTATTAATGTCGATGATAATAATTTAGATAAAAATAATATTAAATATTTTTTTTAATTAGATAATTAAATTAAATCATTTAAAAATATTGAGAAGATATCTAAAAATAAAAGAAGGGACGGAAAGAATAATTTAGTTTTTTTTAATGATATGCCATTTCAGAAATATGCTGGGAAGATGACAGGACTACATGACTTCTCAAGTTTGGCTTGCTTTATATTGTTCATATGTCAGACACTTGTTTTAAATGAAATGAGGCTGAGATTTGGTTAGTGACTAGTCAAATCTAAAATATGATTGTTTCAAATTTCTGATAAATATTTAATGAGGTAGAGTGGTAGCTCTGTGTGAAGTGTACTGTAGGACTAGGATGGATATTTTTTCTATTTTGAAGTGTGATTTAATGCGATGCTTTGGTCAGGTTTCATTTGCTAATGAAAATGACATGCACAACACAGTGATAATGGAAAGAAGCTATTTTGGTGTCTGCTGTATAAAATCTAACAACCACCAAACCTTATCTCACAAGATGTAGACTCAAGCTCCTTGAACTTTGAAGTATAGTGAACACCCATAACCCATTTAGTGCCCAAAGATAGAAGTAACATCACTTTGGTCCTTTTAAAAAAATTGATACCAATTTAGATCTTCAGTCACAAAAGTGTCATCAATGTGGTCCCTACAAAAACCTTGACATTAGTTTAGTCCCTTAATCATAGAAACTAATATCAATTTAGTCCCTCAATCATACAAAGTTGATGTCAATTTAGTCCATTAACTATAGAAAATGACATCAATCTAACCCTTTTTTCTGTACACAGAAGGACGATTTTGTTATCACTTATCATGATTGAGAAGGGACTAAATGTCAAAATTCTTTCAAGTAACTAAAACATAAAAGAAGCAATATGGTTTGATGTTTCTTTAATCAGAACACTTCTACTATGATCTTATTCTTAACTTTGCTCTACATTGTAATCAAGACTTGCTGTAATATTTTCATAACACTGCATATATCAATCTCATTTTGGCAATGTGCCACAGATATCGTGCAATCACAAGTGCATACTATCGAGGTGCTGTTGGTGCATTGCTTGTGTATGATGTTACCAGACACGTGACATTTGAAAACGTGGAGAGATGGTTAAAGGAGCTTCGTGATCACACAGATGCCAACATTGTAATTATGTTCGTGGGGAACAAGGCAGACCTCCGCCACCTGAGGGCGGTGTCCACCGACGACGCGAAGGCGTTCGCCGAGAGAGAAAACACATTTTTCATGGAAACATCTGCTCTGGAGTCCTTGAATGTTGACAATGCCTTCACAGAAGTGCTCACTCAGATATACCGTGTTGTTAGTAGGAAGACTCTTGAGATTGGAGATGACCCTGCAGCCCTTCCCAAGGGTCAGACCATCAATGTTGGAGGCAAGGATGATGTCTCAGCTGTTAAGAAGGCTGGATGCTGCTCTGCATAGTTTCACAACGTATCTATAGATGTGCATGGATTCAACCAATTCTCAACATCTTTTAATACCTACACTTGCCTTTTTATGTAACTTTTCCCACATGCCTTGCCAAGTTTATTGTTTTCTCATTTTTTTTTTTCTGTAATAGGAATGGTGTCATGTTGCCCTTAGATATACAAATTTTACTGTTTGTATTTGAATGAAAGTGATATCTGGTTATTAGATTGATCATAAGTTACAATCTCATCATTCTTTCTCTAATATTTTGAACAAGAAAAGCTCTTTGATATATGCCAAGTATTGTTCAATACTTAAAGGGATTTTGGCATATAATGATTATTAACTTGATGAAAAAAGAATAGTTAGTTCAAAGGAAACATTAAGGAGATTTTGTGTTTGAAGTCATAATGAGATTAAGAAGAGAGATTACACTAAAAATGTCTTATCAAGTTCTCTAATAAAGGCTTGTTATCCCTTTATCACTAAAGATTTAAAATATTTCGTAGTAATAACATGATTATAAAAATATATATATAAAGACTTGTAAAAAAAAAAAAGTAATGTTTAGCTTGTTCTGTTGGTATGGAAATTCCTGGTTGCAAATGCAGGAGCTAACTATAGTATGTATGGATAATTGCATAAATACAGAGCTCAAGCACACAGGGAAAGAACTGGAAGAAATAACACAGCTTGAAGCACCCCTATTTGTCAGCTATACTGGTCCTTAACCGTTGCCTTTTATTTTATCAATATATAAACTAAGGTAAAGGGGAAAAAATTCACGTTAAAATACATCGGGTATTCTAGAACCACACAATCAGAACTTGGAATGAGCAAGATAAGCTATATGGATCAACACATTGATTTCATTCTTTCATGTAACTCTTTCTCATCCTGTTGGCAGCAATCAAGAAATCCATTTTCACAGAGTTTATCGAATATGAAGCATGAAGCATGAAATGAAAATAACACAAATTTTTTACAAGTGTTGAATGACCTTTACATTTTTTATATAATAATTTTTTATTTTTCTAATATAATATATTTTTTTGTTTCATTAATCCATGTTCGAAAGATATTGGTTAGTGTTTATCTTATTCAACTCATGCTTTGTAAATATAAGTTGTATAATGGAGAGACACTTGTAATATTATCAGTAGGGTGTTAATAACATATTGAAACTATAGACAAAAACTCACATAAAAATGTTTAGGGTTGCAATTTCTTAATTAGCCTTTAAACATTAAGGAATCTTTTCAAAGGTTCTCCATCAATAAAGGAAAGAAAGTGACGTTATGTTTGTTATTAACATGAAGGATTTTTATGCTTGATTTTGCCTAGTATGTAAAATGCTAAATTCTAGATATGTTGAAAGATTTTCATTTTAGTTCATTTTTTTTTATGTAATCCCAGGTTTGTTAGTTACATTACGTAATTACTTGACATGGAACCCTAATAATAATAATAATAATAATAATAATAATAATAATAATAATAATAATAATAATAATAATAATAATAATAATAATAATAATAATAATAATAATAATAATAATAATAATAATAATAATAATAATAATAATAATAATAATAATAATAATAATAATAATAATAATAATAATAATAATAATAATAATAATAATAATAATAATAATAATAATAATAATAATAATAATAATAATAATAATAATAATAATAATAATAATAATAATAATAATAATAATAATAATAATAATAATAATAATAATAATAATAATAATAATAATAATAATAATAATAATAATAATAATAATAATAATAATAATAATAATAATAATAATAATAATAATAATAATAATAATAATAATAATAATAATAATAATAATAATAATAATAATAATAATAATAATAATAATAATAATAATAATAATAATAATAATAATAATAATAATAATAATAATAATAATAATAATAATAATAATAATAATAATAATAATAATAATAATAATAATAATAATAATAATAATAATAATAATAATAATAATAATAATAATAATAATAATAATAATAATAATAATAATAATAATAATAATAATAATAATAATAATAATAATAATAATAATAATAATAATAATAATAATAATAATAATAATAATAATAATAATAATAATAATAATAATAATAATAATAATAATAATAATAATAATAATAATAATAATAATAATAATAATAATAATAATAATAATAATAATAATAATAATAATAATAATAATAATAATAATAATAATAATAATAATAATAATAATAATAATAATAATAATAATAATAATAATAATAATAATAATAATAATAATAATAATAATAATAATAATAATAATAATAATAATAATAATAATAATAATAATAATAATAATAATAATAATAATAATAATAATAATAATAATAATAATAATAATAATAATAATAATAATAATAATAATAATAATAATAATAATAATAATAATAATAATAATAATAATAATAATAATAATAATAATAATAATAATAATAATAATAATAATAATAATAATAATAATAATAATAATAATAATAATAATAATAATAATAATAATAATAATAATAATAATAATAATAATAATAATAATAATAATAATAATAATAATAATAATAATAATAATAATAATAATAATAATAATAATAATAATAATAATAATAATAATAATAATAATAATAATAATAATAATAATAATAATAATAATAATAATAATAATAATAATAATAATAATAATAATAATAATAATAATAATAATAATAATAATAATAATAATAATAATAATAATAATAATAATAATAATAATAATAATAATAATAATAATAATAATAATAATAATAATAATAATAATAATAATAATAATAATAATAATAATAATAATAATAATAATAATAATAATAATAATAATAATAATAATAATAATAATAATAATAATAATAATAATAATAATAATAATAATAATAATAATAATAATAATAATAATAATAATAATAATAATAATAATAATAATAATAATAATAATAATAATAATAATAATAATAATAATAATAATAATAATAATAATAATAATAATAATAATAATAATAATAATAATAATAATAATAATAATAATAATAATAATAATAATAATAATAATAATAATAATAATAATAATAATAATAATAATAATAATAATAATAATAATAATAATAATAATAATAATAATAATAATAATAATAATAATAATAATAATAATAATAATAATAATAATAATAATAATAATAATAATAATAATAATAATAATAATAATAATAATAATAATAATAATAATAATAATAATAATAATAATAATAATAATAATAATAATAATAATAATAATAATAATAATAATAATAATAATAATAATAATAATAATAATAATAATAATAATAATAATAATAATAATAATAATAATAATAATAATAATAATAATAATAATAATAATAATAATAATAATAATAATAATAATAATAATAATAATAATAATAATAATAATAATAATAATAATAATAATAATAATAATAATAATAATAATAATAATAATAATAATAATAATAATAATAATAATAATAATAATAATAATAATAATAATAATAATAATAATAATAATAATAATAATAATAATAATAATAATAATAATAATAATAATAATAATAATAATAATAATAATAATAATAATAATAATAATAATAATAATAATAATAATAATAATAATAATAATAATAATAATAATAATAATAATAATAATAATAATAATAATAATAATAATAATAATAATAATAATAATAATAATAATAATAATAATAATAATAATAATAATAATAATAATAATAATAATAATAATAATAATAATAATAATAATAATAATAATAATAATAATAATAATAATAATAATAATAATAATAATAATAATAATAATAATAATAATAATAATAATAATAATAATAATAATAATAATAATAATAATAATAATAATAATAATAATAATAATAATAATAATAATAATAATAATAATAATAATAATAATAATAATAATAATAATAATAATAATAATAATAATAATAATAATAATAATAATAATAATAATAATAATAATAATAATAATAATAATAATAATAATAATAATAATAATAATAATAATAATAATAATAATAATAATAATAATAATAATAATAATAATAATAATAATAATAATAATAATAATAATAATAATAATAATAATAATAATAATAATAATAATAATAATAATAATAATAATAATAATAATAATAATAATAATAATAATAATAATAATAATAATAATAATAATAATAATAATAATAATAATAATAATAATAATAATAATAATAATAATAATAATAATAATAATAATAATAATAATAATAATAATAATAATAATAATAATAATAATAATAATAATAATAATAATAATAATAATAATAATAATAATAATAATAATAATAATAATAATAATAATAATAATAATAATAATAATAATAATAATAATAATAATAATAATAATAATAATAATAATAATAATAATAATAATAATAATAATAATAATAATAATAATAATAATAATAATAATAATAATAATAATAATAATAATAATAATAATAATAATAATAATAATAATAATAATAATAATAATAATAATAATAATAATAATAATAATAATAATAATAATAATAATAATAATAATAATAATAATAATAATAATAATAATAATAATAATAATAATAATAATAATAATAATAATAATAATAATAATAATAATAATAATAATAATAATAATAATAATAATAATAATAATAATAATAATAATAATAATAATAATAATAATAATAATAATAATAATAATAATAATAATAATAATAATAATAATAATAATAATAATAATAATAATAATAATAATAATAATAATAATAATAATAATAATAATAATAATAATAATAATAATAATAATAATAATAATAATAATAATAATAATAATAATAATAATAATAATAATAATAATAATAATAATAATAATAATAATAATAATAATAATAATAATAATAATAATAATAATAATAATAATAATAATAATAATAATAATAATAATAATAATAATAATAATAATAATAATAATAATAATAATAATAATAATAATAATAATAATAATAATAATAATAATAATAATAATAATAATAATAAT